GACAGAAATACGTAGAATATGTTGGCCTGGATAAAAGAATGTCTTCTGTCGAAACTGAGGATAAGGAAAAAGAATTTCAGAGGTGAGGCAGGGATGTCGCTTAGGGAAAGTAATTGGTTTGCTACGATAACCTTCTGCACCCTGGATTGCTTGTGAGTTGATAACTGATGCACATTTTCAAGGGTAGAAGAGAAAGTGATATGATGATGATAAAAGATTTGTTTTTTATTTCCTGCAACTAACAGCGAATAAACACATTTTAATCAACCTTAGGTCAAAGTCTGCTTGCAAATCTTCTGACTTTGTCGATCCCAGTTTGAACAGATTTCAAGAAGATACATTGTAACTTCTTAAGTGAACCCAGCTTTTTTCCTCTTGTACACAGCAAAATCTCCAGTGTTAAATTAACACTGGAGAGTGTCTATATGGGTCCACACCTCTGAGTGGTAAATACAACACTGTTGAGTGTTAAATTAACACTTTTGACAGTGTTATATGTTTACAAGTAACCTAGTCAGTTTTGAAGATTAACAATGGCTAACACTGAGCAGTGCTGATTTTCTAACACTGGAATATTTCTAACATTTTGAGTTATTTTATTTTCCTTGGCTGCTTATCAAATTCAGGGTAGCATAGGGGACTGGGGCCTGGAGTTTTTCTAAGTTAAATTCTAGCCTTTTATTAGTACATTACAGGACAGCTCATTTGTATTACAGAACTGGACCTCTCAACTTTGATTATTTAGAGCACGTTTAATGCAGTTAGTAAAACAAGACTTCTTTTGTGTTTAATTGTACAAACAGTCCATCCTCCAGTTTTGGTAAGCAATAAAAAATGATTTTGGGACTTTTTAGCTTTCAGGGTGATAGAGGCATAAAGACAGGAAAGCTGGAGAAAGACATGCAGCAAATGTATTAAGGCAGGTTTGAACTTGGGTCTCTGGATTAGCCTTACAGTATATGGATCACCTGCTCTACCCGGGGAACTAAACCAGCACCCTCAGTAAGTATTGTTTGTATTCTGTTTGAACTAATTAGCAGTCCTTGCACTTGCACCGTGTTAACCATGCTGGTTAGCATTAACTGATCAGTTCATTTTGTTCCACCCTGACACTATGAAGGTTAAAGGCTCATGTTAGACTGATTTTTTGTCATAACACAGTTACTTTGCATTATCCAGTAAGTATAATATTAAGTGTATTATTTTATATATTGTATCTATTTTGGACACATCTACTATTTGTTACATTGCCACATATGTTTTAGCAAATGTTTTACTTTTATTTGCCTGGGCAAATAAAAGTGCATGAAAAGTTCACAGGAAACAGTTCAGCAGTTCTAAAACTAAAAGTCGAATATAAGTCTAAAAGTCCAATATTAAACTTGAATGCAGACAGATATTTAAAAAATGCACCACACTCTGTCTGAGAGCAGTTCATACATTAACCAAAATAAGAGCAATGGGTGAAAAAAAGAGAAAAGTTGTTGCAGTTTCACTAAAAGCTGAAGGACTGAAACATATGCCACATGATAAAGAGACTAAACACGTATTACACTAATTGCACTTAAGTGCATTCTTGTATGGGATGATAACTCACGCAAGTCAATACTTAATACACAAATCCATTTCTTTAAAATCATGATGGATCTTTTCAGTTTAGTACATCAGCATCTGAGAGGTGATTTATGGGACCAAAGATGCTTGGATAAGGCCTCTCAATCAGACTGTCTTTGGTAACTCAAGGAGTTAATTCTGGATCAGATCCAGTCTTCATTCACTAAATGTCCAACATCTCTTAATCATTTGACCCACTGTGGTCTCCTACGTGGTGACTGCTCAAGCATTTCTAAGCCCATTAACTCAGTTTCAACAATCCCAAGTCTTCCCTTTCAGTAAGCATTCAGAGACAGCTTGGATGCACTTAATTTTGCTCTTGTAGTTATAATAAGAGGGATTTATGTGTGTTAATAATAATAATAATAATAATGGATACTTTATTGATCCCCATGGGGAAATTACTTGTTTTTCTCTGCATTTGACCCATTCACTCAGTGAAGCAGTGGGCAGCCCACTAAGCAGGCGCCCGGGGAGCAGTGTGTAGGGACGGTACCTTGCTCAGGGGTACGCCTCTAAAGCTGTTCAATCTGTTCCGCGTGCTTTTTTTAATTCACTGCACACACGACGGGTGGAAAGAGGGACATTTATTTCCCAGTGTTGCCACAGTAACAATTCTCTAAGCTAAGAACTTCATCCACCATGTACACGTGACAGCTCAGTCCATTCTGCCCAGCACAGCTTGCTGGCAGACACATATGATACTTATTTTGATTCATTGAAGCAGAGTCATCCAGCCAGTAAACAGATGTCTGGACACAATGTGGTGATGTCGGACAGATGTTCATGCATTTTCATCTTAGCCATGTCCACAGAACAGAGCTGAAACCTGGAAGTGTTGTTTACATACTACTAATGTGCAGAACACAATACATTTACATTTATAAGAGACATGTTTTTGACAACATAATAAAGGACAATAAATGCATCTACCAAAAGGTTGATTCTCTTCATTTTATACCTTATCATTGCTTCACTGACGCTGCATTCAGATTATTAATAACCTTTGTTCAGGGTTTATTTGTATGGGTGGAGCAAATAGCACTTATTCACCTCCTCTTAACAAAAGCTAGACTTGCTGTTCTCACCAATGGAAATACACTCACTGGCCACTTCATTACTTACACCTTGAGAGTACTGGGTTGGACCCCGGTTTTGCCTTCAGGACTGCCTCAGTCCTTTGTGCCACAGATTCACAGTGCTGGAAATATTTCTCAGAGATTTTGAGCTATATTTACATGACAGCATCACACAGTTGCTGCAGATTTGTTGCTGTACATCAAAGACGAATCTCTTGTTTCACCAGATCACAAAGATGCTCTACTGTATTGAGACCCGGTGACTGTGGAGGCCACTTGAGTACAATGAGCTCACTGTGATGTTAAAAAAAACAGTTGTAGATGATTTGAGCTTTGTGACGTGGTGTGCAAAGAAAGTACCCCCACATCACTGCACCACCATCACCAACCTGACTGTTGATGCAAGGCAGGATGGACACCATTTATGACTACACCAGCAACTGGAATTGAGACTCATCAGACCAACATTTTTCCAATCTTTTATTGTCAAAATTTTGGTGAGCCATGCAAATTGTGATGTCAGTTTCCTGTTTTTAGCTGACTTCTCCTCACGGATTATTTTTTTTCTCTTTTTAAGACTTAAAGTTACTTAAATCACCTGTATTCCCCATTCAGTGATGACATCAACGGGTTTACAGCCTGATACCTGAATAGTTTGACAGCTCTTGGGGGATTTATTTTAAAACTTACCTGTTTTGCAATTTTTAAAATTACCTCTGCTAATTTGAGTCACTGCACAGTCCTTTCTAACCTTTTGTGGTATTTGTGCCTTTTGGAATAGTTTGATAGAATTATGTATTATGGTGTGCACTGTAGTACAGCCTGTCCAAGAAGTTTGTCCTTGCAATGCAATATATTAATTATTTATATACAGTTATTAATAAATAGTCTGTGGTCATATATGGAGCTTTAGCTGCATCCTACACCATGCCAACATGTTCAAAATTTCATTTTTGACACTTACATAGTTACTTTTGTAACTTAGCATGCTACCAATTCTTAATTAGCACTAAACAGCTGTGGTCAGTGAGAATATCTTTTTTTTGGTGTTATACTGGCCCAAATATTTTCAACAAGTAGAAATGTGACTTGATGAGGATGATGGTAAAAAGAAATTCCAGGGATTATCAGAGTCATTTGGATTCATCATCAGGGATCATGGCCAATCCATCTGGTTGTGATATTCCACAAAATAAGTTACATTTAGACCTGGGATAGAAAAGGTCAGGTTAATGGGGTTAATCCTTGAAAGTCTGCACCGATTTTCAGTCACTGCTGAAAATTTTTTTCCAGCAAACCGTCCGGTGGGTGTTACCGTCCATCGAGTCTTTCTGCTAAAGTGGATGAAAGGTGAACACTGACCTGGAGTCTGAAAGTGGTAGTGTTGACCCTTTTCAACATTTTTAACATCTATAAAACAAAGGCTATATTCAGAATATGGACTGCTCTTATCTCACTGCTGACAAAATGTTTCTATTGATCCTTAAAAGTACAGAAAAAATCTAAGTGTGTAGATATAATTTGTGAAATAAGAACGAACTACTAAATGTATTAAGCAGGCATCCATTAAAGCATGACATATAGACATTTTCAGTTACAAAAATAATGGGATTCTGTATTTCAAAAGCATAATTTAGTGCTTATCAGCTGTTTTGGAGTTTTGGAAACTTGCTCTGTCTTTGAAAATGTTTTTAATTATGCAGTAATATCACTCAAACAGAATTTTTAAGTCCAATCCTAATTAGCCTCACTATTATATCTCAGATATCTTTGCATAATATACAGTGAGCGACTCAGCTGTGGAAGGAAAATTCTGCTAGTTTATGTCTGAAGTGAACTGCTGATGTAAACAAACCTTTGACAGGATTAAATGGCCTTACAAATTTATCTAGTCTTAAAAGAGGGGTTAGAATCATTCCAGAAATAAGGGGTCTTCACTGTGCAACACTTGCAACATCGATCCAAAACACTTGCATCCTCAAGCTGTTAATAGGATAAGATAATTCCGTTGATCCTGCTTAAACAAATCACACTTAACAAGTGACTTTTACAACTCATTTAATAAGTAGTTACCTAAGAGGGAATACTTGTTTTTCTCATGTTTACAAGAAACATAGATAGAGTGATAGCTCAGTGCAAAGCTGGATGGATAAATAGTGCTTTGGGACTGAGCCATTTGGAAACAAAACAATAAAGCAGGGAGGGGGTTGAGAGTGCCCGAGTGCCGGGCTAAGGATCCTGCACTGATCAGCGCTGCATGATGCAGAAAACAGATGAGAAAGAGGAGGAGGAGGAGAGGAAGGAGGAGCGAACTGGGAACAGACTGGCTGAGGCTCGCAGCTCTCAGTCTCTTCTCTGTGCTTCGCCAAGCAGCTTCTCTGTGCTTTCCTCTTTCTCTCTCGCCCACATCGGCTTTAATACTCTTCTTGCCTGAGCTTACAAGAGGAAACGTAGCAACAGAGGGGCTCGCTCACTCGCTCGCACCAACTTCGCCCACGCCATGCTGCCCTGGAGAAGGAATAAGTTTGTTCTGGTGGAGGATGAGGCGAAGAGTAAACCCAAGAGCCTGGGGACTGGACTGACATACCACTCCATCCTCTCTTCTCTGCTGCGCTCCTGTCCTGACTTGCTACCCGACTGCCCCTTTGACTGGGTGGGTAGCATCTTCCACACAAAACGGCAAAAGGTTGAACTGAATAAAGAGGAGCCGGTTTATAATGTGCGCTACTTGGGAAGTGTGGTCACCATTACGGCAAAGGGAGATGGCTGCACCCAGGAGGCGGTGGCCAAAATCTGGGCGAGGAGCAACTATGGGGACCAGAGTGTCAAGATGAGGTTAACAGTGGGACCACAAGGGATCCGGATGAGTGCCGACAAATCCGGGAAAAAGAAACCCATCCATCTTTACTCCCTGAACAGGATCACTTATTGCACCGCTGACCCGTGCCGGCCCAAGATCCTGGCTTGGATTTATAGGCACCAGGTCAAGAACATGGCGGTGGTGCTCCGGTGTCACGCAGTCCTGGTTAGTAAGTCGGAGAAGGCCCAGGCAATCGCCCACAGCCTCTACCAGAATGCCACCTCCGCCTTCAGCGAGTTCAAGCGGCTGAAGCGTCAGAGTGATTTCCGGCACTGCCAGCAGCAGCTGCTCGGTGAGGAGGCAGTGCCCCTGATGCCTCTGAGGAGGCTGCTGAACGGGCAGTGCCACTACAGACCGCCTGCCGACAACCCCGGGACTGCCACCCGTCTCTGCTCCATCACAGAGGAAGAGGAAGAGGAGGAGGAATGTGAGAAGGAGAGCAAAGATAGAAAGGAAGAGGTGAAGGAAGCGGAGGAGGATGTAAAGGAGCAGCAGGACAAACAGAAGGTTTTAACGACAAACACAGACCCGACTCAGTTATTATCAAAGTTGGACATTGGGGATATTGCTCGACTGGAGCAGTGCCAAATCAACTTTGTCAGTGACAGCAACAACAATACATTTACCTTTATAACCTCTCTGGTGTGACTGTAACACAGTTTAAAGAGTGCAATTCTGCACTACAATGACACATTCCTCTCTCTGCCCTTCACTGGTACCCCACTCAGGCTCCCTCCTGCCCCAACCATGTAATGCAAAGTGTTTACCAGAAACTTCTCCAACTTACCGGGTGGACAAGAAGAGGCAGACGATCGTTTGTGGGAGTAATTCCTACTCTGCCCGGATGCCTCGGATTCGGGCTTGACTGTAGCAGTTTGGGAAACTGCATGTTTACACAGGAGGGCTGGTGATGCACAGACTAACAGCAGCACAATGACAAATGAGGACACTGGGTTCAGAAAACACGGGAGTGCTGAGAGACGCTGAGATCGCTGACATTTGTGTCACATATTGATTGCAGCACCGATCAGGATGTAATTAGTAGACCTCTGTCTCTTATTTTTGTGAGTATATTTCAAGCCTCGTTTGTAAACAGGGTCGTTTTTTGGACTGACTTGTGATATTTTTCAGGGAGGTTCTTTGTAAATTTGTGTAACTTTTCTAAAATGACAATCCTCATTAAAATGACTCGCAGACTGACCTTTCCCAGCGAAGAAGTTTATTACGGTTTTACTAATGATAGCAGCCGACTAATGAATAAGGCTATAATTTAGGAGGCAAGCCATTGAGTCGACATGTTTATTGCTGCCATTTGTTAAGGTCCTTATCATTTATGCATGACAAGTCAGCAGTAACCTTTTTCGTGCTGAGCTATTGTCTTTTTTCTCATGACATCTTTGATCCTTTGGCTTTTAAAATGAACACTGTGATAAATGCGTGACCAGGGACTATTACATAACTGTTCATGCAGCATTGATTAATTCTTATAATGCATCTTTTAAAATATATATTTATGATTTGCTAAAGCAAAAACAAACTGTTTGCCACTGCTCTGCCCGTCTTAGTTTTGCTAATGCAGTTTTTCCATGAGCCCTTGCAAAAATGCAAATGACCCTCACTATTGAACACAAGTGTTTGAAATATGACTGTAGCTGATTTCCTGTTGATAATATCTGTGCTACTGTCCCAAGATGCATTGTGATTACTATGAGATGAAGCTATTTATTTTCCAAATATGATGAATAAAAATTACCCTTGCTTGGGTTTCCTTCTTGAATCTCAGGAGGAGTGTATTTCAAGATGGTATCAAAGAGATTATTCAAATGAATGCAACTGCTCAGCATTCCACTAGTGTACATTTGCATGTTTGTGATGTGAAAATATGTCTTACCATCACGTCAAACACAAGAGAACAGCCTATTTACATCCGATTAATCTGCTTTCAAACTGTATAGAAGGATAAATAAATGTTTTTGCCACAGAAAAGACAACTTTCAGCTGCCAGTTTCATTAGATGTTAATGTGGTTTGATAAATTTCTGCAAGCCTCGCAGTGGCTCTGCATCACTTAACCCTAAGGGGAGCAATTAATCAGCGGGCTGAATTGTTCAGAAAAGGAACATAAAGCACCTGCCTCGACAGGACGGCTGTCAGGCTCCGACAGTAATGAGTGATCCAAAACGGGGACCAGGAAGTTGACTTACTAATCAAGCATATTGCTGCCAAAATCAGCTATTTCTAATGAAGGAAGAGAGTTTAACCGGGTTTACTGGGATGATATGTAACTATACCATGTTTGGATTATATCACCATAAAAATAATAAATATATTAACGTTGAAAAGCTAGTAACAGTTAAACAATTCATGAATTCATGTCAGGTATCAAACATCAAAAGCCGTTTGAGCTGACTTTTCTCATTAGAGATTCTACTTTTGAAGAGGAATGGCTTCGACTTTATTGCTGCATGAGAAAGCAAAACCATTTGGAGTTGGGTTGAATTACTGAGACGGATTGCTGGAACATTTGAGATCAATAATTTTCTTTTCTTGAAATGAACTACCTCGGAAATAGAAGATGATCTCATGTCAGGAGATGGAAGATAAAGGATTCATTTGTCCTTGCAACAAATCCATTCATAGGAGAGATTACGGAATACTTTCATTTATGTGATTTTTTCCCCTGCATTTTAATACTCAGACACACAAAACACAATGCAATAAAGTCACACTGACATTCTGCTATGGGGTGGTTAAGCAGAGGAACCACTGTGTTTTTACGCAAACACAACTCTTGTCAGGCAAACATAAGAGAGGGAGCAGATGGCAGCAGCAAGGTGCACGCTGAGCTTTATCACACTCGTCTTCCAGAATAACAAGGGCTCAAGCCCATATCCGGAGCTTGTTATGTTTTGTCACATCGTCAGCCGCAGGAGATGCTCTTTAAAAACATAAAATCTAATCAAACCCAGCAGACCTGGGCCTGTCAAGTATTACATATAACCAAGCTGTGCCATTTTACAGCAGGGTGTCTGAGGAGATCCAAATAGCTGCTTCCGCCTGCACACATCTGTTCTTAGTCTTTCTCATCCTCATGCAGTGTCTGTGAGGCAAACACAAGGGTGTGTGACAGTACCACAGGCCTGCATGTCTCCACCACGACGAGGAGGAACAGAGGAATAAAATATTGTGTCCCAAAGTAGCTGGCGGCAGGCAGCAGTCCATTTTATTCCAGGGAGTAATGTGCAAAAAAACCTCCCAAAAAATAACCACACACACACAGCTTCCCCAAGAGCATGACAAAGAGGAAGAACAGTCCACAAAGCCCAAGGAAGGACACTGTGAATCACCGAGACGTTGGCCAGTACTGGGAGAAATGAACAATAATGAAACTTTATGAAATATAGCTGTAGGCAGCAGTGAGGAGGGACAAGCAGTTCAGCAGGGCACAGTCACTATGGCAACTTTTTCTGATCGTGTTAAAAGCCTGTCTGTAAGCACTGACAAGAAAACCATGGACTGGTGCTGGCATGAGGTCACCCAGTCATTTTGGGAGTCTGCATTTTGTAGTCTCAGTGTTAGCAATTTATGGTGGCAAAGGTGACTGTGGTTTGACAAAAGGGTGGAGTGGAGTTATCAGATAACACTTGCAAGCTTAGTTAGCAAGCAGCATCCACGAAACGTACACATAGAAGCACCTACTTGCTAATTAGTAACACACCACAACTGAGGCACAAGTTTATTGGATGGGCTGTACCACATCACACTCCAGAGGCAACATAAACATGGATGAGTGGTCCAGTTCATTAAGCTGACTGGCTACCAGTGCTGTGAATACAGCAAGTAAAAGGGGCAGTATTGCCAATGCCAACACTGATACTGATAGTGTTAACGTATAAAGGCCGCTTATGCAGTGGAGATTGTTGTGTTATCACTTATGAAATGAATAATCATGATTTTGCAAATTATGAAGTTTATTGGTGTAATTTTTACTTTCCACAATAATTAGTTAACATAGTAAAAGACACCATTCAGCTTTTCATGTATTTTGAAACTGCTCTTGTGCCTGTCTGTAAAGGGTCAGCATGTACTGTAGGTTAAAAAAAACAAGCAGAAATAGACAGACTAAACAAAAAGGTTTGGACTTTTTTCATAGTACATTTTGAGGTATATCTTTTTTCATTTCCAAATAAATGATTCCTTTAACGAGTCAGCGGGCTACACACTGAACTTAGAGTGTAGCAACAAAATATCGATACTATCGCACTGTATCGATCCAATCACACACCAGGATTAGCATTAATACTATCGATATTTGAATTGTTCCGCCCACCTCCACTGGTTAAGCCCATATAGACATGTATGGGCTTCAGCTTCCCGTGTAAAGGCACCTCGCAATCAAAGCAAACACACCTTAAGCCAAAAGAAAATTGAAACGTAATTGTAAAACATTCTCGTACTGTTCACTTGTTATTGTGGGGTTCTTTGTGCCCAGTTATAAATACTTTTAATGATGATAATTCTACTTTTGAAAACAGTGATCTGCAGGAATTAGCTAAGTTTTGAGTTTTAGCATTTCTCTGTTGGCTGCATTTTAAAAACGTATTTCTAGTCCTAATGTTGCTCCGTGGTAGAAAAAATAATAGTATTTCAACAAAATGCAAATTAAACTAATTTGGGGGTCCAGTCTTAACAAGTAGTGCAGATATGTGCCAATTTGGGGACAAATAATCAAACTTTGTGAAAACGTTGAAAGTCTTTTCAATCCTGTGTGGTGAAAATTGATATAAAATACAAATAGATCTGTGCACACCTCCAATTTTGACCCTTTGGTTGCACTAGATTGCTTGGTGGCATTGACCCAATTTATTGTGCCAAGTTAGTCTTAAAGTTTCACAAAAAGGCACCTTTAAAGGTACCATCTGAATCTCAGTTATCTATTAATATCATCAGATTTCCTTTGACCTTTCTCACAGCTATGACATTTGAAGAAATGTTGCATCACATTGTTCCAATACATTAGTTGCAGCTATCTTACTAAAATGAACTTGATTAAAGGAAACATGAAGACAACTTTAAATCACATCATATTTTCCATGCAAAAGGCTCTCTCCAAGATCCCAAAGTATTTCACCTTGTGATTTGTTTTGATTAATAAAAACCTGACTGCAGTATTTCCTCTGGCAAAACTAAAAGACACCATTGAAAATAACATTTCACAAAACATATTTTCTTGCTGGATTCATTACTGTCTCTTGAGACGTGTGACTGGAAACATCCACAGGTACCTTTTTTGCTTGGTGAAGACCTCAGCTGTGGTGGTTGTTTGTTTGCCCAGGTAGATAGAACAACAATGACACCTATCCACACTCAAAAACAAAACTCAATAAGTGACAAGTGAAGTTCAGTCAAATAGCATTTTTCAGTTCTATAAGAGAAAAGACCTGAAAAAAGTGTTATTTTTGCAGTTAAACTGCAGTGTATGCTTGCTTGCCAGAGCTTCCCTCTGAGACCCGTGGATGTATTAAACAGAGCTGCATTGCCTGCCTCACCAGCCAAAAGTTTTCCAGTTACTGGGTTTGCTCCCATGGTTTCCAGTCCACTGCACAAATGCTTTAGCATTTTCCTGAATATAAAACTCATTTTACAGGCACTGTGGAGGTTTTACAAATATGCAACTCTGTGGATTAAAAATCATTGCAAAAATGGTTAAGAGACATACCAAAACCAGTGGGAAAACTTTTTTTTGTGGTCACTGGGACACACTGTGTCCCACTGATCTCCACTTCTTTCAGTACATATGTGATAACAGATTCATGCAACGATTAGTAAAAATCACTTCCTCATTTGCTGTTGTTTTCATTTCTACAGCTGTTTCTTTGCCTGAAATCAGGCAAATCATCATGAAAATGTTGGTGCTCACTAAACAACCCATGCTGCTCCAGAGACCGCGCCTTATTATCTGCTGCTGTCATTCTGCAGTTGCAGGGAGTTTACAAGTTCAAATGATCACAGCTAACAAGCATCATTTCCCCTACTGTGCAAATCTTATAACACCTTCTGAGAAAAATAGTTGCATATCTAGCAAGTTTCAGATGAGATGTGGTGGGTTTTGCCGCTGAGCATCACTGTCAGTATCACACTGAAGCCCTCAAACAACAAAAATGCACTGCAAGATGCCCCACAAGATCCTAAAGTGAACCAGAACTTGGTAGAATAAACTATCAAATAATCTCTTGAAACCACCACAACTGTTGTTCTTGAGTATAAACGGTCTCCTGGGAAAACAACATAAAAAAACAAAAAGCCTGGAGTGTCAGTGAGGAGACCTGTACAACTATTTAACTCAGGAGTGCACGGATTCGTTTAGGCCATGTAATACCTACAGTTTTATAGTTTTCCCTCAAAAATATAATCAACAATAACATCTTTGTCATTTCACATGGACAACAAAATTGGATACAACTATATCATTGCAAGGTCAAAAGAGGTTTAAAAGTGTGACTATATAATATGCATAAAAAGTCAAAAAATTATACAAGTCTCTAAAAGTAATTATAAAAATGAAAGTAAAATAAATGGTAAATGGTAAATGGCCTGTATTTATATAGCACTTTATTAGTCCCTAAGGACCCCAAAGCGCTTTACATATCCAGTCATCCACCCATTCACACACACATTCACACACTGGTGATGGTAAGCTACATTGTAGCCACAGCCACCCTGGGGCGCCCTGTAAAAAACACATTATACCACATATAT